ATACCCCTTAGAAATTTCAGGCTGTACTCCCAGCGGCCCAAACTTTACGTTTAAGGTCACTGTCATGAAATTTATTCATGAAATTGCTGCGGACATGCCTTAGACAATAACGCTTGGTCATGAACCTAGTTTGTAGCTCGGGGAGATCACAATATGCATTGATAATGCCTACATGCCTATTAGAATTTACACAAATCTGATGCGAACGAATAACTCTTTGAACGAGAAGACGAAAAAACCATGCCCAACTGTCAGATGTTTCCCCGTCAACTACAGCATATGCAAGCGGAAAAAGTTCTTGATTTCCATTGAACGCCACTGCCAAAAGTAGGTGACCCTTGTACTTTCCGTACAAATGGGTCCCGTCCACCGTCACCACAGGCAAGCAATATTGTAAATCATTAATAGCTGCTGGAAATGCCCAAAATGCATACTTAAAATGCGGTTCTTCGTCTGGGGTAACATTGAGGTTGGGAGGGTGTGAAGAGTAAACAACCTCAACGATTGTTCGTGGGTATGCATTTTGAAGGTTATATAAGATAACTGGGAGGTGCGTGTAAGAGTCCTCCCAACTGCCGTGTAACATCTCTTAAGCATGGATTCGACCCATCCAACATTTTTTATAAGAAAATGCAACGTTGAATTCTTGAAGTAATTCGTGTTGAATGAGTTTCACTTTGTACTCCGGGTCAACCCGTACTTTGTCAAGGATAAATCGAGTAATGAACATGTAATCCATATTGTAGTCATTGCCTCCGTGGGAATAATCTGGATGACAACTGTGAACATCATTGAACTGCTTCAAGCGACACGCTCCAGAGGATAGTTGTTGGGCTTGAGCACGCCAAAAACAACGTGGTTGTTTGGCATGGTACCAACATCGACAAGCCCATGAAGCTCTTTTCTTGTACTCCATTATCCAAAATCGATGTTGCGCAATCGAGTGTTTGGTGATTGCATCTTGTAAAGCATGTAAATTAGCAAACACCATACCCTCTTCCAAAGGTACCCCAGGTTTGTATGATCGTTGTCCTTGAGTGGCAAGCTCCTCAATGTGTTTAACTCAGGCATCTTCGGTGTCTTCATTGTTAGACGGAACATACTCCGAATCGCTATCCTTGTCTAGATTGTCAATGTTCTCTTCTAAATGCACCACCCTGGCCGATCTACTGCGTCGTGTGGATGTACCCACATTTTCTTTTTCTGTGGAAATGTGTTGCGTCGAAGGGCCGACAACATGACTTCCCGTTGTATCTGTAATGTACACTTCAAGTAATCCCAAGGGACTTGCTTTGTTCAAGAACAATTCTCATGTTGCATTACTATCGATGCCCATTACTCTACTAGAGTATACACCCCCAAAAAAATATGGAATTTTCCCGGAAACTTTAGCATTGGAGCCATATCCTAAAGTGAGTTTGTATTTCGTCTTTAACAATATCCCATGGAAAACTCGAATTGACAACAAGTGTTTTTTGGTATTCTCTAGTGTAGAGTATATGACCATCACTCTCTATCATCTCATCCCCCCCCCCCCAAAATATTAAGAATTTGATTATCGGAAGAGGACATGATGAACACTACAAAAAAATGAATTGAAATTCTGTTATGAATGTCTAAAAAATAGCGCAAATTAATAGCAGGGAAGTGCCTTGATTTTGCATGTAGTACATAGTGTGTGAATGGATGGTTTAAATAAAAAAAGTGAGTGATAATTAAGAAGATGAAGGGGTGGGTGAAGTTGGATGGTTGGGAAGGAGGTGGTTGAAAGATGTGGTGGAGAGGAAAAGTTGGGAAGTGGAAAAGGTGATTAAAGTATGTGGGGAATTGCTCCATTATTTTCGCGGGAAAAAAACCTAAATAGGACTAAAACATATCAAATATACCTAAATAGGAGTCCAAAACATAAATTCCCCAAATAGGACTTAGTTTGCATGGCCATCCCCAAAATACCCTACCCTCCCTCTCATCTTGCCGCAAACCTTTATTTACCAAACATAAAATAAGTATATTACTATTAAAGTTAAGTGTTGCATTATTGTTGACATAAGGTGGCCATTTACAATATGAAATTTTAGTTTTCTCATTTACACGTACAACAATTTATAAGAGTCCCTAAAGTTGGTCATGTATATGCCAATTTGTGGCACTGTACACAGCGTTGAATNGGAATAGGATTTCTATGTGTTTGGGTGGACTATACCAGCATATGTACATATATACTAACGTCTCAATTTTGTAGAAAGGAGAAATAAAATCATAACAAGAAAAGCCGGGATGTCTCCTAACAGCAGCCACCGCATGAACGCAAATAAATTGATCCAATTAGAATTCACAACATGTCCATGTTTTGTCCTTTAAACTCATATGGACATGTTGACTTTAAATGCATAACAAAAAAATAAAAATATGCAATGGTTAATATGCAATTAAAAAAATTCATGATAGTCCAACAAAGTATGTAATGTGGATATTACCAGTGTCATAATTTTTAATGTGGTGATGAATATTAAGAACCATTGTAATGTAAAGTGTCACAGTATGTAATGTGGTAATGTATATTACAAAGAGTTGTAATGTAGACGGGGCAGATTGTGAATTGTGACACGGAAAGGAAAAAGAGGGCAAAATTGGGAGAGAAAGAAAGAATGTGGCGGGAGAGGTCCTATTTGGGGGATAAAAAACATGAACTCCTATTTTAGGGATAAGCACAATGTTTTAGTCCTATTAGGGGTGATTTCTATATTTTCGCATGTACTACATGCAAATATATTAAAAAAACGAACCGCGCGTAGGACATGCAATTTTACTGCAAAATCTGCAAAAGATTTGACAGTTCTGTAATTTTTTTTATTTAAGTTTTTTTTTAAAAAAAATCGAGGTAGTATGTGCAAATGTCCTTCCCAGGAATTTAATGTTCTACTTTAGGAATTATTTTTTCCTTTTTTTCCCTCTGAGGGAAACCACCTGATTTCGAACGGAATATGGCATTGATCTTCAACGTCATATGGAGTACAAAGATATCCTTCCCAAGACAGTGAATACAGCACCTTCCACCTGGGTGGTTTCCCTTCACGCCACAAATTCCTAAAATTGAAAAGTATTTCCGATCAGTGTGCGAGGTATGAAAAATTAATTGAAGTCGTGTTCGCGGAACACGAGTTTGAAATATTAATTAACATCGTGTTCGGCAAACACGAGTTGTGTAAAAAGCAAAAGAGTTAACACGCGTGCTGCCACCCAACCTGTTAGATTCCCCATGCCACCCCCCAACATTTAATATGTTAGTTTCTTCCAGTTCCTTCCAGTTTTTTCCAGTTCCTTCCAGTTTTTTCCAGTTTCTTCTAGTTCCTTCCAGTTTCTTCTAGTTCCTTCCAGTTCTTCCAGTTCCTTCCAGTTTCTTCCAGTTCCTTCCAGTTTCTTCCAGTTTTTTCTAGTTTTTTCCATTTCCTTCCAGTTTTTCTAGTTTCTTCCAACATCCAGCTCTTTTTTTATAGTCCTAAAGAACAGGCCCTTAGTTCCCTTCCTCCCTAATACGGAGTAATTTTAGGCACTTTGCCAGGCTTATGTATTGCCAAGTTTGCTATCTTTTGTTTTTTCGGTCAAAGTATACTCCCTCCGTCTCTGAATATTTGTCTACATTTGACTTTTTTCGGTCAAAATTAGTAAACTTTGACCTTAAATTAAATAAAAATGATATTAGATATTGATACAAAAAGAGTTTTATTAGATTTATTATATCAAGTATTTTAAAAATATTATTTTATTTAATTAAAATGCACTGTATATTTTATTTAAAATGCAATGTATATTTTTCATTGACGATTGTTTTATGCAGATATGGAGGACATAGAGCGTCAACTTGCCGGTCCGATGAATGATGATATGCTCACACTTCAAGCCACTCGTCGGTCTAGTCGTGTTTGGTCTGATCAGGCTTTAGCAGATAAAAAAGTATCAGTATGTCGGAACGATTCTCTTATTTTAGAAAAATTTAGGGATGACCGGGTTGAGTAAAATTTGAGAAGGTCTAGGTTTTTTGGGGTACATCGGGTCCACCCCATAAAAATAGATCATAGTTTGATTACGGCCCTCGTTGAAAGGTGGAGGCCAGAAGTGCATGCATTTCACTTCCTGTTTGGTGAACTTGGTATCAGTTTACAGGATGTTGAATGTTTAATAGGTTTAAGAGTAGACGGGGAACACGTAGTTTTTCCTGAAATGGTTAATCCGAATACATATGTTGAGTCACGACGTAGGTCTTGTTTGGATTGGCAACGAAAAAATCTTCGGTTTACTCCAAAGATTTTGAAGATCTATGAAGCGCGGGAAAAAAATAAACAAAACTTTCAGGCTATGCATAATGGCGGACATCAATACGTTGTCTCTAAGGCTTCCATCTCTAACCCAGGGCATATGTACAACTTTGTGATCGACTTGGGGAATAAGTCATGTACTTGTGGACAATGGCAAGGAGACGGTGTTCCATGCGTGCATTTACACTCTTTGTTCCATTCTTTCAAACAACGTGCAGATGATTGTGTCTCTCACATGTACAGTGTGCAACGATATCAGATGTGTTACACCGGCCAAATTAGACCGGTAATATTTCCAAATGATTTTAATTATGCAGAGTATCCGGTATTGCCACCGATAAGGCCTGAAGGAGAAATATCGCGTTCTGGTCGCCGCAGGCAAAAATGCTTCCAGGGGGAAATGAGATGAAATGGACAACGGAAGGATCAAAAACGCTTCCAGGGGAAATTTATGTTGTTTTTAAATATTCAATGTATGTTTTGTTTTAAATATGCAGTGTTATGTTTAATTTTTTTGTTATCGTTTTTTGTTGTCTTCTAAATATTTAGTGTATGTTATTTTTAAATATTAGTTTATGTTGTTTTTAAATATTCAGTGTATGTTTTGTTTTAAATAGGCAATGTTATGTTTAATTTTTTTTGTGTTATATAAATTGTAGTTTCAACTATTGCACCATACATTTGATTGTGTTATACTCTATAAAATTAACGTTTGAAGAACAACTTGTGTTCGCTGAACGCAGTTTTAATTAAGGGAGTCAAAGTTGTGTTCGCCAAACACAACTCTAATTGGAAAAAAGTATTCCGTGTTTGTTGAACATGGTTCAAATTGCTAGGAATTTCACATTGAGATTCTACATTGATTGGTAATTGCTCCCCTTCCACCCACCAATGTCACTTACCCTGCGCTCATCATCGGGAAAAATCTCGTCTTTGTTCCCTTCCAAGAAGCCCTCAAGCCTCAGTCTCCCGACCAAACAAGAGCCCAAGTGGGTGCCCTTAAACCTGGGCAGAACCGAGCTCTACCTGCCCTTGACCTTTCCCACAGGCCAGACTTTCAGGTGGAAGCAGACGGGTCCTCTCCAGTTCACCGGGGTAGTCGGCCGCTTCCACTTGGTCTCCCTGAAACAGCTCGAGAATGGGGACGTTGGTTACCATCAGCACTCCACAAGCGGGGCGGATGATTTTTCCAGTGCCTTGCTTGATTTTCTCAATGTGGGTATTTCTCTGAGTGAGGTTTGGGAGATCTTCAAAGCCTCAGATCCGAGATTCAATGTGTTAGCCGATCATTTGGGAGGGGCCAGAGTCCTTCGGCAGGACCCTGTCGAGTGCCTAATCCAGTTCATTTGCTCTTCTAATAACAATATTAAGAGAATCACATTGATGGTCGATTTCATTTCGTCCTTGGGGAATTATTTAGGGACTGTTGGAGGGTTTGAATTCTATGAGTTCCCTTCCCTGGACCGGCTGTCAAAGGTTTCTGAAGCTGAACTTAGGGAGGCTGGTTTTGGTTATAGGTTAGTCATTTTATCTTTAGAAGAGATTTCTATTGTTAAGATTTACTATATCGCTTTTCAGTGTATTGCTCCTTGACTTACCCTGGCATTGGCAAAATGTCAAAAGACTAGAGTTTTATTTGCCCTTATTTAGCAGTATTAGGACTCCTTTTGAGCAATATAACACACCACCCACAGTAATTTTTTGTACACAACTCATTCAGATAAATGACACAAGTCTTTAGAGTTTCAAAATGGCATGCAGTCCAGTACATGAGAGACTGTTTAAAGGCCTCAAATTGTTACCACCAAGTGAGATGGTAACAACTCTAGCATTGTGCCGAAATACATGTCCTCTCTAAGTTTAAACGCGATTGCTTTGGGAATTACTCCCTCTCTTCCAAGTTCCAAGAAAATGTTTCATATTTCCTTTTTAGTCTGTTCCAAAAAGAATTTCAGTTTTGTTTTTAAGGAAAAAAATGCATGGTTCACATTCTTTTGCTCTCTTTTGCATACACGTCAGCCACACAATTACGCCCTTCTTAACAACTGTTCCTGGTCAAATGTTACACCTTAATTCGGGATGGAGTGAGTAGTTGGTTAACGTACTCAACTCACTTGACTTAAAGAAACACATAACTTTTGGGTGGATTATTATATCTTTGGACTTGCAGTTTTTCTTACTCTATTTTTAAGATTCCAACATGCTTACTTTTTCAATTTTCTTTGACTCTATGGTAAAGATGTTTGGGTTGTCTTAACCTTGAGCTAGGTTGGATTAACATATATCGGTAAGTTTTTCACATATTTGTTAACAAACTTGTGGATTATGGTTAGGGCGAAATATATAACAGGCACTGTTAAGGAATTGCAATCAAAACCAGGGGGAGGTTGCCAGTGGCTTGCTTCGCTTCGAGGGAGAGAACTTAATGAGGTTGTTGATGGTCTTTGTACTCTACCTGGTGTTGGTCCCAAGGTGGCAGCTTGTGTTGCTCTCTTCTCGTTGGATCAACATCATGCCATTCCTGTTGATACTCATGTTTGGCAGGTAATATATCTAGGGCTTCAAGTCCCCTTTCTTGTGAGACTTCCATTCCATTATTGTCTTTTTTCTGTTGTTGAATAGGGTAGCAATGTTTTTCATAATGAAACTAGAGATTCTCCCATAATTTGATATGTTGATTATTGCAAATATATACCCTTTGCAATAAATAGCCCTTGTGCAGAAGACATTGTTGCAATAAATTCTGAGTTTAAACTTGAAGGCATCATAAGCAGGAAGCTATTTATAAGTCTTTTGATTGTTCGATATTAGCCCCTTCAACTCGCTCAAGATGATCAAATATTTTCCACTGGTTATCTAATCCATATCACTTTAACTTGACAAAACACTACTTTTATGCTATCGGCACTTCTGCCCACTAACTATTTAGTCATTTCACCTTGTATTCCTCGTTGAGCAATCTCTATGTGTTTGACTAATCACCATGATGAGCATAAGGGGGTGATCTTCATATTTCTTCCAAATTATTCACTAATGTTTCAGTCTCAAAAATGCTAGAAACCCACCACGGTTGACACCACGGATGATGACAACCGTCTATGAACGCTGTGTATGTGATGATTTTTGTCCGTGTATACAAATTCACATACGGCTGTCATTTGTGATGTCATTTGTGACGTCAATTGTGTGTTTGGGCATGCCAGTCCTCCTACAGAAAGAATTCCTTATAATGTTTTTTGGCAGATTGCGACTAGGTACCTTGTCCCTGAGCTGGCAGGTGCCCGTTTGACGCCTAAACTGTGCAGTCGTGTGGCAGAAGCATTTGTAAACAGATATGGGAAATATGCTGGTTGGGCCCAAACTCTACTCTTCATTTCAGAACTTCCAACACAACAAGCCTTGTTGCCCATTACATTTCGGAACTCGGCAGACGAAAGATATCCCAAACATAAGAAGAAAAGGAAAATGGACGGAATCAAGAAAATACCCACTGCTACTAGCCGACTCGCATAATGTCTATGCTCAACTTCAAGTATGTACATGGTCAGTGTTGTTTACCAAATGATTCCCAAATATCACATGTATCCTATGAAGCTATGTCAATTTTGTTTAATCTTATTCATTGAAGAGAATTGCAAACACCACATACGAAACTTTGGACAGTTGTGTTTGTTACTTGTTGAAATGAGATATGTATGGACTTGTCCCATTTCTAGTCAGTGCATGCGCAATTCCATTTTACCTCATAAATCTTCCCCTAACTTTTATTTGGGGACCAAGGGAGTATTTGATTTGATTTGGATGTTTAGTGTCATGGTTTTTGGTTTGGAATTTCATTCTTGATATCATTTGGATTTGATTTTGTCATCACTTGTTTCTTTTTGTTGGGATTTTAAGCGCGTAAGGTACCGAAAAATATTGTGAACACCAGAAAAATGAGAGAACAAACACAAGAAGAATATATGAGAGAAAAATTATATTTTCATTTTTTCAGGACAATATACAAAAAACTCTCCCCTGTTTACAAGGCTAAATTCTAGACACTCATAAACAGATATTTCCACATCCTATCCCCGGATGTATTTTTTCGAGTAACTAAAACCAGTTACTCCCTACACTCACCCACACTCACCAAGACCCCTTGGATTTTCCCGGTGGTATTCTTGTGTAGAATTCCTCCCATGCTTCTCTCTACATTGGTGGTGTGTAAAACCCACACACATGTATACCTTAGTCTCACTCTTTTTAAAGCAACCCAAGCCTTTCAAAAGTTGGACTCAACGCATGTGTAATTGCCTAAAAGGTGCAATCCATTTGTTGATTTGCACCAATCCAAAGAGATAGAAACAAAACCAAAAAACAACTCTTCTTGACCGAGATAGAAGCACCTTGTCGCGAATCCATTCTGTTACCTCATTGACCTGCTCTTCATCATCCGCCACTAAGTTTGCCAATTCTTGAAATTGAGTACACATAATATCATAACGTGTCTGTTCTGGGCTACATGACAAGCCATCATAATCAACTGGAACTCGCGTGTACGTTCGACACAGATCTCGTCGCCATCTATCCAATATATACTGATCGGGTAGGAACTTAACCCTGTTCAGCACTTCTTCGAACATTGCCATCACTTTCATTCTCTTCATGTGTGGACAAATTACCGATGGCCGGCATGTTCAACACCGCTGTTTCTGGACAAACAATTCCAACATTTCCATCAATTCCGTGTTCTTCAACACATAGCTCTCTAGACATGTCCATCTCAAAACCTAGAAAACAATATAATACCTTAGTATTAATGATATTTACCATGAGGAGGGTGATATAAACTTGAAACTTACAATGCCCCGTTGTGTTGTTGTTTTCCTCGCACCCTTCCAACATGTCAATGAAAGAGATGTCAAGTACAGGATCTATGTCATCAATGTCTATTAAATCTGTCAAAGAAAAACATATCACAACATCAAAATTCCCAGTTCCAATTATCACATAGAGTAAATGTCTGTTTTACACTTCATGAAATACCACACTGTCTGTGAAACTCTAAGCACAAACCTTAAGCACATACTTTGCTAAATTTTCTCGGTTCCATATACTATGTACATTGTATGTCTGTGTTGAAATACTGTAAACACGTAGTTGTCTAACCAATCATATGGATATAACAACTATATTCGTCAGAAACCAACAGACCTGTCACAACACTACAATTCCCCTTATTCCAATTATTACATACATTAAATGTCTGTGACGCTCTAATTTAAATAACATACTGTCTGTGAAAACAGAGTGACAAACAAAATAATCTTTTACCCCTTCGTGTTCCTTTTATACATGGTTCAATACGACTACTACGAAAAATCCTCATCCACTTACATTAAAGGACTATTTTCCCTAAAAATTCCATTCTTTAAGATTTTCACAAACACTTTTCATCTGTGTTACAACTTCATATACAGCATAGTCTCTGTGTGAGTTACAAAATTGAAAATTAGAATGACAGAGGTTCATAAACTGTTTACTGTACGGATTAACTAACCTGCAAACATAGGGACGACTAGAGGTTCTTCGTACATTATCGCGCACACACTCCTACAGCAAAGCTTCCAGATTGTGATGATGATTGACGATGATGGTGACGGAAACTGGTGTTGATGTGCGCGACTGTCAGGAACACGATGGACTTCCTTACGCCGTTTACTTCTTCTGCCGGCGACACAGGATGGACGGCCGGACGTAAAATCTGATGGCGGTCCGGTGGGAGAAATCGATTGTGTCAGAAATCTAGGGTAGTTGACGACAGCCGGGAAATCGTGCGAGGGAAGAGAGGGAATGGGTAAGGAAAAAAGGTGGGAAACTAACGTGGGTGGGGAAGTGGGGTGGGGGGGGGGGGGTTTGGCCGTGTGGGTGTATATGGTGGTGATTTTGGGGTACCCGTACGGTGTACCCCTAGCGGGACTGTTCAATCACCTACACGCCACAAACCTGTTGTTGATGCCGCTGCGCCCCAGCTATCATCGCCCCACCTTCAACGGCATGTCATGCTCCATTGCCGCTGCGCTGTTGCGGTCAAACCCCACTATTGCCGTATTGATTTTTCACTTTCACCACCAACATCACCGGTCTCTACCATTTTACCCACACTAACATCACAATTTACATTCTTGTCGCTAAGTGTCACATTAGCTGTCAATATAGTGTTAGCAAAAGATATAATGACAAACAGCTCACCATATAATGTCACACGTGACAATAGTAAATACCCAAATGCTCCTATATAATGTCACAACGTGAATTCATAATGTTACACAAAAGCATAATGTCAAATCTGGCCCTTTGCCTTGCCTACAGTCATTGAGCATCACCCCTTCCATGGCCACCATTGCAAGGATAAATGACCAATTGTGCTTGATATTGGTGGACTCCCATTTTCCAAACACCAAATCGTCATCCCAAAGGATCCAAACAAAATACAAGAAAAATTAAATTTAATTAAAGATCAAGAGAGAACACTCTCACTTTTGAAATGAAAGCTTTGAGGGAGGGAAATGCGGGTAGGCGGCGTGGTAGATCTTAGATGGGTGCATCAACAAATCTTTGAAGGGGTTACGTTCATGGGGGAATGATGGCATTGTGTGTGGGATTTGGTTACGGAGGCAGTGGCGGTGACTGTCACAGATGGTGTTGCCATGGGTGGCGGAAACGTCAACTGTAATGGATTGAAGGGGTGTCGGCACCAAAGAGATTGGAATTGATCGGGTGTTTGTGACAGCGGCGATGTCAATTGCAATGGATTGAAGGGGCGGGCATCTAAGAGATTGGAATCAACCAGGAAGAGATTGAAGGGAGTAGGCGGCGTAGAGATCGGAATCAAATTAGAAGAAGCGAAGGGCTGGTTCATGAATGATATGCGTGGGGATTAATTTAATATTCTAAGAATTTTGGTCCTATTTGGAGGATTTTATGTTTGAGCTCCTATTTTGGACTCCTATTTAAGAGGTTTTCTTTATGTTTTATCATAAGTAGAATTTTTAAAAATGTAATAAAAAATGGACATTTTGAATAGAAAAGTATAAATTGTAATTTTTGGATGGAGGAAGTAACAAAACTTTATTATTTTAAAAGAGCTTAATGTAACGGAATAGGTGAATTGTCCGTGAAGCTGGCCACTTGTTGCTGATATAGACAATTTTTGTCAAGATCAGAAAGAGGTCAGCTTCACGGACAATTCAGTTCTACCGATACAGAAATTCTTTTACGTCGAGCCCCAATCTTCACAGATTAAAAAATATCACAATACAATTAATCAAAACTTAACGATGAGGGACGGTGCGTTAGAGCACATGATCCCCACCAAGCAATAATTGTCCTCAAAGTGCTTGCCTAGTTACCATCCAATGATATTTGGCCCAACTCATGTAAGGTTAGGAGAAACATTATACCTACGCCATATAAAAATTTGAATGATACAAAATAATACTACTCCTTCAAATTAAGTGATATATTTAGTATTCACAAGTTAAACTTTATTTACTTTTTCTATTTTAATTATTCATTTGGTAAAATAATACTCCGTATAAACATGTCATTTTTGTTTCGTAGAGCTGATTTGATTTTTTCAAGGTCAGTCCTGACATTTTTTTAACCTGGCAATTAGAAAAATGGGCCTACAATAGTTTTTAAAATTAATCTCAAAAATAAAATTTTAAAAAACATATGATAATTTTAAAAAAAATAATAATTACTTCAAAAACTAATTTGTCAACACTTTTAGAAAGAAATTAAGCATTTTTTGAAGATTAATAATTACTCCGTATAATATAATTATAATACGTAGAGTTATTTCATATTAAAACTTAATAGTCCGATGGCACTGGTATGACTCTTTCAAGAGATGTTATGTGTTCGATTCCTGGTGGGGGGCAATAACTCTATGACCTCCAATTGGTTAAGAATGTATGAACAAATATTATATTTTAATGTAGTTATTATTATTCAAAAAATAACTTTATTATCAAGCTTTTCTCAATTATTTGGGTCAAAAATAATAAAATGACAAAATTTTACTGAATATTTGTCAAGTACTCTAATTCAAAAATATCTTTACGTTTACAAAATAGAAAATATGTCCAAGTTATTTAAAAAAAGAATAATATCAATTGATGAATTAAAAGTATTGAATAGGTCATATTATTATTATTATTCATATATTCACCTAAAATTAGAAAATTAAAAAATGAACTGATTTTTTTACAACAGTAAATTATTAGAACTATTACATTATGGGCCACGTTTAGAAAATGGGACCTAGGCGGCCGCCCCTTTACCCCTTATGCCTACCCCCATGGCCGGCCCTGATTTTATAATATGTAAACAATATTTTTTTATCTTCGCTCTAATTCTCTAATAAATTGTATTAAAAATAATTTTAGTCAGACATCATAAATTAAACTATGCAATTTAAATTAGAATAAGGGAGAAAAGATTTAATTGATGTTTGATTTTTTTTAATTACAAAACAAAACTGTTTGTAAGTTTGAAAATTTTGAGTGAGGTGTAAATGTGGTATATACTACTCTATAGTATTTGTACAATTTTAATATTTTACAATCAAAATTGATAAACTTAGACCATTAATTAAATAAAGTAAAATTTGTGTTAAATATTGTAATAGTTATACATAGACCTGGCAAAATGGTCGGTAAGGTCGGGTTCGGTATAATCGGGTTCGGGTTATTTCGAGTTCGGATCACTTCGGGTTTGAGTCTAAGAATGCTTGTTCATGACCCAGAGTTATCGGGTTCGTGTTGACCCAACGGGTTAAGAGGCGTATTTAAAAATTAAAAATTTTATTATTTAGAGATCATGTGATCCGAGAATTATTCAAAACAAAGAACGAAATCATAAAAGTTTATAGTTCTATTTGCAACATACCAAAAGAGAATTGCAATATATCCAAAAAAAATCACCTTTTTGCAGCGTACCAAAAAAATTGCATTAGATGAAAAAAATTGAAGATTCTTTCAACATACCCATATATATATATATATATATATATATATATATATATATATATATATATATATATTGGAAACAGCCTCTCTACTTTCGAGTAGGGGCAAGGTCTGCGTACACACACCCTCCCCAGACCCTACTCTTGTGGGATTTAACTGGGTTGTTGTTGTTGTTGTTGTATATATATATATATATATATATATATATATATATATATATATATATATATATACGTTATTAAAAATTGAAATTCTTGCGTCATACCAAAACAAAAGAAGTAAAACTTGAGTAACACGTAAGAGCAACTGAAAAGGATGAAATAGGATTAAAAATTCCAGTATTGTTTTTGTGTTTTTTCACCATTTTGATTGAGTCAGCATCTAATATCAACAAACAATTGAAGAGTGGAAGAACGATATATATATATATATATATATATATATATATATATATATATATATATATATATATATATATATATATATATATATATATATATATATATATATATATATATATATATATATATATATATATATAGACTAGAATGTTAATGGATTTAAATTAAGTTTACGTCTTTTGAATTTTGAGTAGCCTAATGGGTATATCATATTTCAAATTAATATCTAAAACTAAATAACTAATAAAAATAAAAATTAAGTGCATAACCCGTCGGGTCAAACCCTACCCGACCCGTTCTAACCCAAACATTTAACTGGTCTTGGGGTTCGGGTCATTTTGGGTTTGGGTCGCAAAATCAATTTCAAAACCCGCTAATTTTGGATCGGGTTTCGGATTAGTAACGGGTCGGGTCAAATTTTGCCAGTTCTAGTTACACAAGAATAATTCTAGTATATTTATCTTGTAATATATTTTCAAAATATTATTTTATAATTTACATACCATATAATTATTAGAATCAAATAGTTTTACAGTTTGAATTGTAATAATCTCGATGTGGAAGACTGAGCCCAGTCCCCTACAAAGTGTGGAAAAATTTCAAAAATCTTTTCTTGGCAAGAGTAAGGGGCTGTTTGGCAACTTCTGAATGGGTAAGTACTGAACCAGTAAGAGGTCTGAACCATTAAGTGCTGAACCAGTAACAGGTCTGAACCATTAAGAGCTAGTATATTGCTTAACTATTTAGAGGTAAATGTCTGATCAATTCAGATAAGAGGTCTTAACCATTCAGACTCTGTATAATACTTAGTCATTCAGAGGCAAGTCTCTTAACCATTCAGACATCTGAACCATTAAGAGGCTGAAACAAATAGTCTGAACCATTAAGTGCTGAACCATTCAGACATCTGAACCATTAAGAGGCTGAAACAAACAGCCCCTAAATGTTCTTATTACTTACTCCGTATAAGATAAATCACCAAAAGTAAAGGACGATTTAGATAATATACATACTCCGTACATTACAATCCGTAATATTTACATAATGTGCAATGAAATAGGAGTGTAACAATTTACAACCGTTTCTACCCTTGTCCATGCATTTAATATGAGTTGTTGGACCCAATAAACCGAACCCAAGCTGGGTAATTTGTTGGAAAGTGGGAGAGAAAAAACACAACAAAGCTAACAGCTAAAATTTCCATTTGCCATTTTTATGCAGAATTTAGCACCTAAAGCAAGGCAGTAGTGAGCCAAAAAGGAGGTGGGCAAATATGGTGAAGAATTATTTGTTCAAAAGAGTACAAACGATCCGACTCGGCGCAGTCCCTTTAACTGCGCAGCCGTGTGTACCGGTCAAATAATAGCTGCATTTATGCTTTGTCGCTTCGTCTCAAAACTGAGCTTGGGAATTAGGATGTTGCCCTTGAAGTAGAGCTTCAGAAGTAACTTGACAAGCGACATATTATTTTGGCTGTTAAATGCACACATCTACTGGAAAGGTAAATGTTCAACACCGCGTTCTAGAGCATCCCTCCATAACCTATACCTTACTCCTAGCTTGTCGTAGGAGACCGGAAGATTCCAGATGTTAGCACCATTGATCATGCGGTCCTGTTGCCCAATCACAAGCCGCAGATCCTCGTTCAAGACCTGTAAATGTAGTAAGATTTGATAGTGGGATTTGGCATTAGATTTCACCTATGAAATCCCTGTGAAATTTAGATTCATGATAGGATTGGAAGTCTTAAGGAGAATATAAAAACATTGATGTATAGTATCTCAGACAATATAAACATATCTCAATACATTCATACTCTATAAATGTCTTAATTGAATACTCGAATACTTGTAAAAGAAGTTTCAAAATGTCTCGGTGAAAGACCCACTACCAAGGCACATCAAGTCATAAAATGCCTTTAAAGCCCAAAATAAATGTGCCCGTCTAGTATGCCGTTGAGCATGTGAAATAAAGCCCAGTTGGTGAATAGATGAGGCGCAAATTCCAACAACTCAAGCCATTTGGGTACCTAAAAAAGTGGTCCCACTAGAACTACTGAATGTTTTGGCTTCAATGGAAAATGACAGAGCTATATGTTCACACAGGCTCACCATAGTCACTAATGAGATGGTCATACAATGAAATGTTGTTGCCTAAGAACAAATGTAGATATGCTCTGCCTGGAGAACATGACTTGCCAGCTTGGATTTCAGAGTTATAAAGCTTCTAAATATCTAAGAGATGTAGGGTCCCTTTGTTATACTTGAGAATTCGGAGCGGAGCAGGGAAAAGATGGTTCTTGCATTAAGTTTAGTAATAGAATGTTGAGGTGAAACACAACTTTGAATTTGATTAATAATATTATAAATAATAATTTTATATTTCCATAAGTGATAGTTTTTGTTTTTTTAAAATTGAAGAGACTGTTGCGTTAAAACATAAAAAGAAAAAAGAAAAATAATGAAATTTAAGAGAAAAATAACGAAATGTACTGTTGTAAGAAGAAGTTCACCCCTCACCACACCGCCGCAATGCATGTAAGACCCACCAAGCTGCGGCGTGAGGAAAATTTCATGTACAGTTTTTCAACTCACACCAAAGGTTAAAACAAAGGAGGCCGTAGACACTGCAATAGCAATTTCCCGTATACAGAATAAAATTTTACCTGTTTAGCGAAGTGCCTCCACAAATACTGCATGAAGGGGAAGTGTTTGAGCATCGGCGCGAAATCCAGAGACATCCTGTATAATAACCTAGTCTTCTGTGTGGACGAAGGTAAGCACACATGCATTTGGTGAAGGTGTGTAGCACACTGTTTGGTATTCTGCCCCTCCAGTTTTCCAGGCTTTGATATTCCGATAGTAGATAACACCATACAGGGTGGTCTAAATTCCATGTCGATCGGATATGGATCCCAGTGTCCTTGTAGACCAGATTCAGGAGTAAAAAATTTCACCAAGCTGAGAAAGCCAACGAATGAACAGAGAAAAAAGTTAAGCACAAATTATCTCAACTCCAGGAAGTGTGGAAGGTGCAAGGAGAATGTGGAGACATCTAGGCCATTGCTTAATTTTTCACTTCCTGAAAAGTCTGACATATTTACTGGATGCACAAAATTTTGAGAAAAATCGGCAAAAGGCAAAATGGCAAAACCTCATCTATTATAGATGGTGTCTTTTTAAGGATGAAAAATAAAGTTTCTTGGTGATCCATAGTTGTTAGCCTACTTATGAATGCCTTCTAAATCGTTGAGAGCACAACACACAGAACTGTACCAAATGCCTTTTGAGTGATATTTTTGTATAGGGAAGCTAATGTTTCAAGTTAGTTGACATTAACTTCAAATTAAAAACTACATCTGCATTGCAACTCCTTTGTCTATAACCACTGAAAACTTTGCACAAAATTACACCAGTTTCAAGCCTTGGACTGATTTTTTTAAAAATAGAAAGCTGTTTATTGCAACGAACTGACATTCCTAAATTATTTAAATAAAAAGTAAACCCTGCAACTTACCCCTATAGAATGTAAACAGAATGCACAGCAAATATAAATAAAATGAAGGAAACCCCAAATCTCACTTGTCAATCTAGTCAACATATGTGAAACTGACCTAATTCCATTGACAGTGCCGCTTTATTCAATGTTTTTGTTCAACAATTGTTATGAAAAAACCAGCATCATTAATCAATGCATTCAAGCTTTAACTATAGAAAAAAACTTCTGATTTGGATATATACTCTGAGAAAAATTGATAGACTCTAATTCGTGATTGGTTACTGTGAATTTTGAGAGCCGGAGAAGTGCCTCATTCACAAATTAAGTATTTACTCCGTATTATTGTTGTCGTTGTTGTTCTTATCCAGATTATCATTATTTAAATAGAGTTCATTAAATGGTTTTTAAAGAGCATTTCTATGTTACTGGCAATATTTAGCTTCGCATTAATAATGGGCTAATGCAGAATGACACATCAAACTTTCTTTAGTTCTTACTTCATATGAAGTCTCGGTACTAAATGCAACAATGCACAAGGGTCAAAAAGAAACAACTTCTCTGTTTTTATGGGGAGAAGTTTGCATACATCTTGAGCCCCATACCCCAACAGAGTTGGGATTATAATGGTTTGAAGTTGTATTTCAATAGAACATATTATGACTTGTTTTAAACATATCAATAAATGCAAACCTTGGTATGCTCCATCCTTTTGCAAAAGTCGAAGTGTGGGTGAAAGGAGCGTGTGCAAGATCTAAAAGGTTGTCTAATAGTAAACCATGTTCCACAGGGAGCTCCATGACAATCTGTCATTTTCAATACACAAGGATTCACCAGCAACAAACGGACTATAGAAACAAAATATTGAAATCTGATAGTAGTGATTGCAAACCTCTGCATGGATTTGAAATCCCGGGGGAGGTTTTAAAGAAGGTATTGTAGCTTCTGGAGGATCATTTCCAGGCCAAATCCAAATCATGCCTTCTTGCTCAAAGCATGGCAATGTTTTTAGCTTTACATTTAGTAATCTTGTTGATGGCATTTTCTCACATTTTCCATCTGTAGCATACTCCCACCCTAAATCCAACAAAAATCATGATTAACTCAATAGTCTAAACTCTAAATAGATGACACACTGCTGATATCCATACTCATTTTACACTCCCACAGTTTTGCATTGTTGAAATTGCTTTCCCTTTTTAAGTTGTTCCATACTCCATATTACTTATCCCGTTTCTTCTCTTTCTTTTGATAAGCTACATTCAATAAACCTACTCACTTACCCGTCCTTTTCTTTCTCTTACCCCATGTTTTCTTCCTCTCACAACCTTTTCTTTCGCCCACCCCACTTTTTTCCCTTTCACTACACCTTTTCTTAAACTCGATGTAAACACATGTGTGTCCACTGTTGCGAAATGGAGGGAGTATTTGTTTATCAACATAATAATTACTAAGCACTGTTTCTCTAACCGTGGTAAGGACATTGTATACGCCCATCATTTACTGAACCCAGATGAAGGGGGCAGGCTCGATGAGCACATGTGTTTTGGACGCATCCTGGCTTTCTATCATTCCCACGAAAGATTACCCATGGCTGCTCAAAGCAATCAATTGGCATCTGAAGCATCATAATTAAAAAACAAATAATGGAGTTAAATGAATATATACTGAAGAATAAAATCCAGAGGGTTAGATCTCTATTCATATCTTAACTTTCTCAGAGAAGTGATGTAAATTTTTCATTGAGTATATTTTTACCCATAATCAAATGCTTTTTCCCCTATTTATGCAGAATTCACTTAATCTTGTGGTTTTTGAAAAATGTGGCTGAAGTGATGTTTATATAACTGAAGTAATATGTGAGTATCTTGTAATAGATTTACCATGGTATCATCCTTAAGATCACTGGAGAAAGCAACAGGATACCAGAAGTTCATCAGACGGTCACTGTAATTTTGGATGGGACCGGATACATTTAGGCTTGTTCGACGCATCTTCCTCTTAACATTTTCTGAATGCCTTATAGGTGCACTAAGAGAAGGGGACGAGCTACCAACTTCTGCTGTGTGCTGGTCAAGCAACAACCTGTCATTTACCATTGATTCCATGTAAGCCAGCTTATCTAAGGCGGCAGAAACCCGTGCCTCTGACATGTGCACCTGTTATACAGAGTACAGACAATGTGCTTTATTAAAAGACAGAAAAAACACAAAAAACAAGCTGCAGAGAAGTTCTTGGCTCTTGATGTTTCAATTTTCAGCAATGATACAAGTGAAAAATGCGTTAAGCCTTAAACGAGGGTCAGGATTCTTCAAAGTACACCTGACAAAATTTCCAGTCTTGTACCATTCTGCGTTGTCAATGAAATCCATCATTTATTTTTAGTTTGAAGTACTTTGCAAATAAGAGTAATAGTGAAATAACACGACATTATATTATATTAAAGCAATGTGAATGCAAAGGTAATACAGAAAAGACATAAATCAATTTGCATAGTAAATAAATACTTGAAAGCAAGAGACGATTCAACTTAGTTAGATTACATCCTTGTGAGCTTGTGCCAGTGCTTCCTGCAAATCTGCAAGTTCCTTCTTCATGGTTCCAATAGATTTATAGTCGCGGGCAAGAGGGTTTAACACTTCGACAACCTTTATTTAAAAATTGCATTCGATTATTCTAAAATATAAAGAACAAATCAAACCCCCAAAGCCAAAAGTAGTAGTTATATATTATATAAAAACCAATAGAAATAATTTTACACCAACCTTCTCGTGCAGAAGCATGATTGTAAGGACATCTTGACGAGCTCTCCAATCACAATACTGTAGATCATATCGAGCCACTTCTAAAGCAATGTTTACATCAAGGAACTTACCTTTACATTGCGGAACTTTGGACCTTGGATCTTCAACATTAAATAGTGTCAGCCATGGGCTCTTCTTGTCCACTAACCCACCCTCATCGGCATACATAGAAAAGACTCTGAGCCCTCCATAGGCACGCTATCCTTATACAAATAACAAGCCTGTCATCCAATGACCACTCTATGCTGATAACAAACAAAATTCACGCCTCACAACAAACTTTTTGTTGCAGATAAGAAAACATCAGTGTATGTCTGAGACTTTGCATTCTTTCTGTACTCTTCTTATTCATTAAATACACTTTACACAAAAACTTTTTCAACTTGAGATGGGAGTCTAATCTAGTCACTGCAGTAAACTTACTAAACTAGATTCAAATTTCACATTACTTGAAATAAACTTCTGAGCATATATCAAGGCATGAAGCAAAATGCAAAATAACTGATGAATAATCACACACCTAATATTAGTCTAGGTAAATACAAAATATAACAAAAATCAAATAATACCATTCAATGCTCATATCTGAAAAAACTGATTAAAAAAGACACAAATACACTATATACAGCAGAAGCAGAATGGAGAGTTTCCAACATTTCAACAGATAATTCGCAGCAGAAAAACAATAATCATAGCAATATTGAATATGTATGGCCTAATAGCGGTACAGATCATTGACAACAACCCACTACACACATTAGACATCTTTTCTAGAACCACCAAATTGACTCATTAACATTATGAGATCAAAGATAAGATAGATAAGGGAGGAATCTTGAAATAAGCACTTAACTTTTGCGAACCCTTAACATTTTTAGGTGTAAATATGTCCCTGGCGTTTCCGTGCAAGTTGACATTTAATTTTTTCCTTAATGTTTATATTCACCATATGAGATTAATAATTAATTTAATATGTTAAGTGTAAAAACAAAAACAAAATTGAAGATTAATTTTTGTTTTGAAAATTTAAAACACATCACTTGTATTTGTGTTAAATGCTTTGGTTCATTTTAGGATGGAGATAGTTGTAGAGGGATATCTTTTTAGAGGCTTGTTTATTAGTATGGTGTTGTTTATTTGCTCTTTCTATATTCAGTAGTTGTGACTGTTACTATTCATTCTTCATATTTAATTGCTATAATGTGTTAAGCCAATGGTCTTTTGGAAAGAGCTTCTCTACCTTTATTTGTAGAGGTAATGTGTGGCACATCCATGCTCCCTAGACCCCACTAGGGGAACCTCAATAGGTTGTAATTGTTGTCTTTGAAGTGTATATGCATTTCTTATTGATGGTAATAACTACAAAAAGCCATAACATCCATGTTTTTATGTTTGAAAAATCACAAAACCTTTGGTATGTGTCGGAGAGCATGGATGTTGACATGGTTTCTGCTGTCAGTAGTTGCATTGTCACTAGTTGACCCTACTTTGGCATTCTTCATATTGATTTTCCCATTGTGTAATAGTACAAGAGCTTGTTCTCTTCAACTTATTCTTATTACTTACGTAGTATTACATATTCTTATTATAGGAAAATATTGTGGAGGAAGAACGCTACGGAGCAGCGTTAAAGAAGAATGAGAAGAATAACTTGATAGAGTATAACGAATCGCATAAAAACGCTTTCAGATCAAAGTTATTTCGGAGTATACGAAATACTTCAATTAGATAAGACGTTAATCAAGAACAAGCCTTTCGAATCGTATCTTCAACCATACCCGAGCGTCTCTATTTATAGAGATGAAATCACCGATCACCGAGCAGACAAGATCTTTCGCGTAAAAGTTTGCAAACTTTCACGCGGTAGGGATAATTGCAGACTTCCGATTTTTGGATGCTAACATTCATAGAGCTTAGTAAAAATCGGTCTTTGGACCCCGCTACCGGGGCGGCCCCCGAACCCCCGCTATAAATTTATAATATCGTTAAATGAGTGCGCACTTTGCACCTCCTAACTCGTTTGACAACGTCTATTCAAATTCTTGTTTGATATAAGTAAACACAATCACACAAAATAGCCGATGATACTAAAATCACCAACACTTATTGGAATCAGATCAGGAATATTCATATCAGATGAGATCTGAAACATAAACTCAAGGTACAACTTTAACTTAAATCAAATTGAATCAAATGAGATCAAACCTTAATAAATTAATATTAGAATCAATCAGATCGAACGAAGAGAAGAGGCTCTAAAGCCTCTTTATCTCCAAGTAGGGGTCTATGTATATTCACCCTCCCCAAACCTTACTTTGCGACTTTGCATGGGATTTTACTAGGTTTGTTATTGTTGTTGTTGTAATGCATCAAGGGTCTGATGGAAACACCCACTTAGTTTTTTATCCCTCGTGTACATTTTGACCCCTACAAAGTTATAATTACACTAGGCATGTTGTTGTCGTTATTTTAACATATAGGGATAATATGAAGTTCTTTGACAATGCTTAATATTTGGATAAATAATGGACTAAATCAAAGTGGCACCCCTTGCTTCTTACTCAATATGATGTTTTGGGAAATAATTGCAACAAAGCATCAATGGTTTAACAAAAAATAAATAAATGCAACAAGGCATCAAGTGTGTAATGGAAAACACCAGGGTAAGATTGCTATTTAACCCCCATATCCCATGGAGCTTAGGGATTATATTGAGTGTGTTGTTGTATCTTAAGACCAATATGAACTTCACAAAAAACATTAAGAGCTAACTTGTACAAACGTGAACCATTATGCTTCCTCAATCTTACGAAAAGAGATCGACTTTGGCTTTCATAGGAGTTAACAAATGAATTAAAATCATTTAAAATAATCTTAATTTTTCTAAGATGCTCTCATTCAATTGCACTTCCTTCATTGAACAACTTGAGTTGAATAACAAATAAGTCTACTTCATAAAAACCCAGAGTATTTGTTGAAATACAAATTGAAAATGGGTGTTTTGACAACAAAAGAAGATGAATTATCTATTTAGGTGACCTTGTGATGTCCTATAAAAGGGACCTTAGGTTTGCTTCATTTGGCCTTGCATAGGGTGGCTAACAGTGCTTTTCAAGCCAAAAGCAATGCCAAACGCCTAACTTTTGGGGTTGAAATTTTGGTAAAATAACACTCACTTTTGCACTCATATGGACTTAGGCTTTTGCATTATGGGTAAAACTGTCAAAAGATGCTTCGTCATCTCACAAATCTCAACGTAAGTGTCATCTTATTGGAGTTGATCCCTATACATATCCTAAGAACCATTGTCATTATATTAAACTACTTGAAGGTTGTTTAAGGAAAAGAATGTATGGTTCGTATTATCTATCTCTTCTCAATAAATTCTAGCAACACATTTCATGGTTTCAACTTTCTTAAAAATGCGTCTACTTCAGATGTGGATCTTTATTTCAAGATGGGTGGAGAATCAGTTGCAACAACAACAACAACCCAGTGCAATCCCACAGAAGTACTAGGGAGAGTGTGTGTACGCAGACCTTGCCCCTATTCGAAAGTAGAGAGGCTATTTCCAAGAGACCCCCAGCTCGAGTAACACAGGCGCAGAGAGAAGCATAAAGCCAACAAAAGATAGAAAAAAAGCCAAGAAGCACCAAGCAAATGAAACACACATTGTTAAGCACGAAAACCACCGCTAAACTACCCAACGACCTTAACTTTATCTCTCCAAACACTCCTATTTAAGGTCATATCCTCGGTAAGGGCCAAAAGTCTAAGGTCTTGGCTAACCACCTCTTTCCAAGTCCTCTAAGGTCTACCCCTTCCCACAATCCCACCCACCACTAAAAGTCTCTCGCATCTCTGCACCGGAGCGAGCACTACGCTGTTTCACGTGCCCAAACCACCTTAGTCTAGCTTCCCGCAGTTACTCTCCACAGAAGCCACTCCCACTCATTCTCGAATAACATGGTTCTGAATCCTATCTAACCTTGTGTGTCCATACATCTAACGTAGCATCCGCATCTCAGCAACATGTAGCTGGTGAATGTGAATTTTCTTAACTGCCCAGCACTATGCTCCGTACAACATGGCTGGTCTCACAACAGACCTAGAACTTCCCTTTCATCCTTGTCGAGATCTTCCTGTCAAAGAGTACCCTTGAAGCCAACTTCCACTTGGCCCAAGCAGCTTTAACCATAGTTATCAAGGCATCGCCTAGGGGGTGAGGTTTTATGGATGCCCAACACGTCGCCTAGCTTTTTTTGTGGGAATGCAGGAGAAGAAGATGACACAAAGAAGCCTGAGAGAGGACGAAGGAGAGGAAAATGTGAAGAAGACAAAAGGGAGAGAGACTTACTATTTGAGGAAAATCGACTTTACCTTCCTCGCCGATGCTGATTCATTGTAGCGAGATCTCCAGCAGCTTCCTCTAAACCCTCCGACTCTCTCTAGTTATTTAGGTTAACTAATTTGGGCTGAGTTAATTAAAAGAGTAGTGGGCCTTTAAACTTATTAAGTATAGGTCTTTATTAAAAGATTATTGGGCCCAAAATTGGATTTCACTTTAAAAAAGTTTAAAAAGCCCACTAACTTACTAACTTGTGAAAAAAATACTACGGGGTATTTACTTATTTTTTTGAGTATATTTTTGAATTTTAATTTTTAAAAAAACAACATTTGTTCATGTGTTTCAGAATATATACTCCTTATTTTTTTGGGTACCTATGTACTCTTTAAATATTATTTATTTCATATTATATGCTTTTATATTAATACCTATAAAATTATTAAGATTGTCATAGCCCACTCGCCCAGAGGACGCCTAGGTGGGCGCCTAATCGCTTAGGCAATTGGAAGGTACCCTAGCATGAGCAACATCCTCGTCTATCTCCCCATCAGCCTGTTACCTGTACAATCGGGCCCAAGTAAGGAAACTTGTCTCTCTTGGGCACTAGATGGGAATCAATCAGAACTTCCTCATCTAAGTCGGTCACTCCACCACTAAAGCAACATTCCATGCATTCTGTTTTAGTCCTACTTAGCTTGAAACCTTTCAATTCCAAGGAAAGGCGCCATAACTCTAGCTTGCCATTAAGTCCCTCCTGTGTCTCATTAATCAATACAATATCATCAGCAAAAAGCATGCACCAAGGGACCTCCCCTTGGGCACCTTGCGATAAGACGTCCATCACCAAAGCACAGAAAGGGACTAAGTGTAGATCCTTGGTGTAACCCCACCTCAACAGCAAAATGGTATGGTCAGAGTCCCACCAACAGTCCTCACCCATGTCCTAACTCTGTCATACATATCTCAAATTGCATCGATGTATGCAATCGGCACCCCTTTGAACACCATATGTAGATCCTTTTTCCTAGCCCTATACTTTTCCATCAACTGTCGCAATAGGTAAATGGCCTCCGTGGTCGATCGACCTGACATGAAACCAAATCGATTCTCGAAGATGCACACCCCCTTTCGTAGTCTAGCCTTGATGATGCACTCCCAAACCTCGATGGTGTGCCTAAGAAGCTTGATACCTCTAAAATTGTCACAACTTTGGATATCGCCCTTAGCCTTATACAACGGGACCATCAAACTCTCCCTCCACCCATCTGGCATATTATTCGTCCTAAAAATAACATTGAAGAGCCTCGTTACCCAAACCAAACCATTGCCACCCACATACTTCCAAAAATCCATTGGAATATCATCCGGCCCCAATGATCTCCCCCTTCTCATCTCGCAAATGGCCCGCGCCACCTCATCTTGATTAATGCACCGACAAATTCCAAAGTCACGAGATTGCCCCAGCTCGCCTCCAAAAAATACTATGTCTCTATATCTCTATGTGTGTGTGTGTGTTTGTGTGTGTGTGTATTTGTGCCAATATGGCCATTATGACTGTATTAAATTAAATAGATACTATGTCTATGTATACATGTATGTCTGTGCATTAAAATATATCATGTATCATTAATACTTAATATAATAATAATCATAATAATAATTTAACTAAAGTATTTAAAATATACATTTGATATATAATTCTATTCAGTTACCTAAACATCATTAAGTGATTTAAACCAGAAACAACCATTGCTTGCCATCTCTTCACTGTCCACAACCTCCATGTCGTCTCCGCCACTACCACACTACATGAACACCCAACCGCAATGTCCAACCCATTGCCCACTCTACCACTGACCTTTTGCCTTTAGTGTTCCCGCAACCTTGACCTCTTCTCTAACCACTTCCTATTGCTTCTAGCAACTGCTCAAACATCATCACATTCACTGCACATCGACAAGCCTCGTTGCCCATTGAGGCATAACGCTAATGTTTTCACTGTCCAAGAAACTCATTCTCTTCCTCATTACCAATGACCCTATCCCCACTACTCATTAACACTCAACTAGTCAACCATAACCTTTCATTGTCCGTCGCCCATTGAAGACCAGATATGGGCATGGTGATTGTTATGGAGGATGACAAAATCAAAAACATGAAAACAATACTCAAAACCCATATTGGTTACATAATCAGGTCGGGTTGTATCCATATGGAGCTATGGGCTTATGTTAGCAATCCAAGGGGACGAATATAATGGAAAAATGTCACATGTCAGATCTCATTCAACACCTCTTTAGAAAATATGGAATTTTGAGCCATTGGGGGAAGGATGAGCTTTTAGCCAATATGTAGGAAAAACATTTTTGAGCCAGTATTATGAGCCTTTTTCTTGAAAGCATAAAACATATATGGGTCTTGTTTGAATAAAAAATGCATTCTTTTCCTCCTATAAAGGTAATTTTCCCCCAAAAAATTTAGTTTTAAGTAATTATTGATCTTCATCAAATAATGCCGAGTGACTGAGTGAGTAATAATTTTGGGCAAGATAAACTAATGTCAGACCTAAAACAGTGTAATGATTTGATACGGAGTATATGATAAATCTCACACACACACACAAAACATTGATGTACCATTTGCACATAGCTTCAAACATCAAGAAAATACATGCACAATTTCGCTACTACGAATAGGTAATAAGATTTTAATGAAATCCCAACTCCCCTCACTCACTTTGAAAGATCAGCACATAAAAGAAAAAGGCACACCCACGTTTCACACAGGCAAAAGTGAAGTCATAAAATGATCAATCTAATTGCGTGGAAATGTATATTTTTATTTTCATTCACAAACTTCATCTTTAGCTGCTTCAACCATGCCGAAAGACAATAACATTTTGACAACAATTAACGAAAAGGAAATGAAATTGAAGCAGAGCAGAAGAGCACCTTTCTATAGCATGACTTAGAGGAGCTCGATCGAGAAAAGGGAAGGCATAGAGCAGAAGAAATGGCGGATGAAGACATGGCGCGGCGGTAGTTTAGCTTCTGGAGTAGTCGGGAAGGGAGGAGCTCTGCCGCATGATGAGAGAGAACGTCTGGACTTTGAGTCGATTTTTACAGCATTTTAATGGAAGGTTTTGATAAGAGGTGAGAATTGCGAGCGATCGGAGAGAGCCTCCCAATGGTCGGCACGTGTGGGGCGTTGGACTTTGTTGGCCTCCAACGTGTCATCGTGATATCCACAACCAATTCGATTGTACGCCGTTTGATTTCTTGCAATGGGGATTTGGGTTTAGAAATGGTTTAATTCTTAGAAATTTCCTTTTTCATGAAGCACTCCAAGAGTTAGGTTCTGTTCTGTTTAATTTATTTTTTTCTAATATGATCTAATTTTTTGTAATCCTGATCTGATTTAATTGGATATGATCTGATTTGATTAGATCTGATCTGGTAGGCCGTTCATGTTTAGGTCTAGACCCAAAAACCAATCGAATCATACCGTTAAGACCAGTCGGTCTTTGGTCCTAAAATTTTAGGTATTCGGTTATGATTTGGTTTGGTCCAAACTCGAAATGATTTAGGTCCAGACCGATTAGACTAACTGCACCTAATAATCATACTGGACCTAAAAGACAAATACTAGAACTTTAATTTTTAAGTTTCATATTACACTTTAATGCTCTAATTTAATAGATATCTTAATTTATTTAATTGTACCCCGCAAGTTGAGTTGACTTTGGGAGCAGTTAATGTTGGAATTGAATAAGGAATAACACTGCGAAGCAGTGTTAAAGAAGAACTTGATAGTATAAGAAATCGCGTACGAAACGCTTTCAGATCAAAGTTATTTTGGGGTATATGAAATACTTCAATCAGAAAAGACGTTAATCAAGAACAAGCAATCGAAAATCTGTACACCAACATACCACGAGACTCTAATTTATAGAGTTGAAAATTTCCATGATCGCACATGAACCTTCGCGTAGACATACGTGTACGTTCGCACGGAGAAGAAGAGAGACGCGAGTTTGAACGAGGAGCTTCCTGCAATTTTGGGGTGCATTTCAACATTTGTCCAATCGTTGGAGTCCTTTGATGTTTTGGACTCTGATCCAAGAAAACTCGACCCCGGCCAGGGGCTCTGCCCCTTGGACCCCGCCAGGGGCTGCCGCCCCTTGGACCCCGCTACCCGGGGGCTGCCGCCCATGGACCCCGTTGTGAATTTATAATATCGTTGAACGAGCGCGTACTTCGCGCCTCCTAACTCGTTTGACAACGTCTACTTAAATTCTTGTCCGATCGAAGTAAATCCAATTACACAAAATAAACTGATGACACTAAAATCACCAACATTCCTCCCCTATTTTTGTATAATCCATGATTTACTTTATGAGATAATAGATTCAACAAACTTATGCATAAATGAAAATGTCGCGACGATTGAATTTTCATCTTAGTATATTACACATTCCAAATATTCAAATTTTGGGGTGTCTCTATGGATTGAACCCTTACAATTCATATGAATAAATAAATTTTAAATTTTACGATTACCAAGTTTATACTTTAGTCTGAAAAGGGCTGTAGATCTGGACGGATAAGGGTGTTATAATTTGGTATCGGAACAAATGGTTTTAAACTCGATCTTCGGAACAAAATTTAGATTTAAAAAATATTATATATATATATATATATATATATATATATATATATATAAACCCGGAAGAGAACCACCAAAATCAATGGGGTAAGGTCCAGGCCGGCCTTACCAAATTTATTAAAAAGACAGAGAAGTACACGTTCGAGGAGGACTATACCAACGCCCCGAAAGTAAAAACAAAATACAAGAGGATGAAGAAAACAAAAAGCCTGTACTAATTAGAACATCACAACTAATACAAGAAAAGTTCACGGAAGAACCCAACATAATACTTCTCCCAAGATCTTCATCTTCTTCAAAATCATCGTCTTCTTCACCAAAGATTTTCAACAGCTTCGACTTCTTCACCTGGCCTGCTTAATATGTTCCGCATTCCTCGCCGTTCAGCTTCCTTGTGATGTAGATTCCTTCCCGATTGGAAAAACAAGGTGAATCCAAGGTTAGTAAGGCTTTCATCCAAAACCATCCAACTTTTGTTTCTCTTCCCCCAACTCCAAGTGTGAATAGTGTTGAATATTCCTTTTCTAACTCTCTGCGAGTTGGGTGCTTCATTTTCAAATCTGCTCCTATTGAATTCTTTCTATATGTGCCAAGATATTATCCCCGGAAGAATACTTCTCAATTGACCTTTTAGGGATGTTCTTCTGTGAGAGAGGTTCCATTCCATAATATTTTGATTGAAGTTTAGATGATTTCTAGGATTAGGACCATCCACTGCTTGAGAGAAGAATTGCCAAATGCTTTGGCTCCAAGGGCATTGGAAGAGAACATGGTCTTTGGTGTCTTCATTACACTTGCAAAGGGGACATTGGGTGGCCAGTTGAAAACCTAATTTCTTCAGTTCCATAGCAAAAGGAAGATAGGAGTTAATACCTCTCCATAGGAAAAATTTTACTTTTGGGACTCGATTCTTATTCCAGCAGAATGAGTAGGTGATTTGTGATGGCTTACTGTCCCTGCATATGTTATATGCTTTCTTGAGTGTGAAATCACCATCTTTCCAAGAAATCTGATCTCCATTTAGGTTGGTCTGAGTTGAGGCTGTGATATTTACCCTGCAAATCCTTTTCCAAACTGGTGAGTCATGGATTCTTTCTTGGATGTAATTCAGCTTCATATACCTGGCTCTCATGTATTTAGCCCATAGGGTTTCATCAGTCTGAACCTTCCACCAAAGTTTAATAGAATATGCTTCTTGGGTATCCTCAAGACTCCTGATTCCCAGCCCTCCTTCCTCTGTAGGAGCACATAACTTGCTCCATTTACTCCAGTGATGTTTAGAATTCCCTTTTTTTATTTCCCCACAAGAAATTGGCCATTTTCCTCTCCAGCATCTTCTTAATGGACTTAGGGATGCAGTGAACAACCATTATGTGAACTCCTTAACTACTCTCGTGTACAAATTAATTTTAATCAGAAGGGTATCCCAAATCCCAAAATGATATGGTTGACAGGTTCATAAATAGTTTCACTCGATCATCAAACCTTGTCACTACAACAAACTCAAAGGGAAACCAGTACCATCGAGGTTCCATCTACTTACCTTCCCAGGGTACTCTGTAGGGCAGGTTCCTTTCCATAGTGCTTATTTTTCCTTGGCTCACCTTTTTGCCAGTGTAAAAACAACTCTTGTCCAGGTTTACCTTCTGCCCTAATCCTTTTTGATAGTCTTCTAAAATTCTTCTGAATTTAAGAAGGTTTTTAGAATCTCCATTAACAAAGACCACCAAGTCATCTGCAAAGGCAAGATGGCTTACCAAAGGTAAGTTCCCAGTGTTGAACGAGCCTAGGTAGTGGTTCTTCATGTGAAAGTTGATCATCCTGGAGAACCCCTCACTACTAAGTAGGAATAACAAGGGAGATAGAGGGTCACCTTGTTTCACTCCCCTTTTCATTGGGAAAAAACCAGCAGGTGTTCCATTGATCAATATTGATAGGTGTGCACCTTTCAAGTTCGCCATTAGAAGCTGTTGTGACCTTTCATTAAATCCCATTAGATCCAGAATAGCTTCTAGATATTCCCATTCCACCTTGTCAAATGCTTTGGCCATGTCTAGTTTGACAATATAGTTATCTCCCCTTGTGTTTTTGTCAATCATATGGACCATTTCTTCTGTCAGAAGTATCTGCTCTTCTACACCTTTGTTTTTTTGAAAACCTGTCTGTTCCTCTGATATGCACTTAGGCAGAAGGACTGAAAGTCTAGATGCTAGGATCTTACTGATGATTTTTCTCATAAATGTTGAAAGAGATATAGTTCTGTAATCCCCAAAAGATTTAGGATCTTCTGATTTGGGGATCAAAGTAATGAAAGTACTCCCAAATGAACTAGGAACTGGAATTCCAAGGAAAAATTCTTGGCAAGCTAGGATGACATCCAACTTGATGATATTCCAACATTGTCTGAAGAAGTAGCCATTGTAACCATCAGGTCCTGCTGCACTGTCTGGGCTATGATCCCACACAGCTTTAGTCACTTCCTCTTCATTAGGAACATTACAAATGAGCTCGTTATCAGAGACATTGATAACCTTAGGGATAAACTGGGATATGAGGCTAACATCTGTGATTGAAGTATTAGAAAATGAGGATGAGAAAAGTTTGATTGCTTCAGAGCAGATATCTTTTATATTGGTGAGGATTTGACCATTTTCATCTTGGATGGATCTAATGGTAAGCTAATTTCTCTTATTCTTAACAAATGAATGAAAAAACTTTGAGTTGCAGTCACCATCTGTCATCCATTTAATATTTGCTTTTTGTTTCCAGAACTCTGTTTCTCTATTGATACAGCAAATTAGGTTGGCAGAGGCTAGGTTTGATGCAGCTCTGTTTTCCTTAGTAGGATTAATCTCAAACTCCTCCTGAGCTTTGCTTGCCTCTTTTTCTTTGATTTTCACATCCTTAAAAATATTTCCAAAATGCTCCTTGTTCCAAGAAGACAGTTCAGATTGCAGTCCCTTCAATTTTGCTGCAAGGCCAGACATCCCCCCGTTCTAGGGCTTGATTCCCAAAACTTTTCAACTGTAGAGTAAAAAGTGTGATGAGAAGTCCAAACATTGAGAAATCTGAAGGGTTTAGGTCCACTGAAACCATCAGTAGTACACTTAAAAAGTATTGGTTTGCGATCAAATGTAGTTTTACTGAGGTGATAAGAGCAGATTTCATTAAACATTTGGGTGCAATAGGAATTAGTGAGGATCCTGTCTAGTCTTCTCCACACCCTTCCCTTGCTTCTGACCCCTGTCCAGGTATAAATACCACCATTGAAAGGGGGGGGGGAGATCAGGCCACATGATTGGATGCAATCTGCAAATTCTTCCAAGTCTTTAGAGTTTGGGTCAGAACTCCCTTTGTGCTCATTGAAGTGAAGAATAGTGTTGAAGTCCCCGCCCACTACCCAAGGATGATCTACAGAGTTAATCGTGATAAGATCCTCCCAAAGCTGCCTTTTAAGAGTTGTACTGTGACCACCATAGACTGGAGTGATGCTGAATTTTGATTTGAGGTTGGAGCTCCAGAATTCACAGGTCAAGCATTGTCTATTTTCAATGAAACTCTGTAGGGAGAGGGAGCTTGCTTTCCAAAAAATCCAAATTTTATTGTTGAGCCCATCTTTGGAGAAGTTGAAACCAAGGTTAAGAGTATACCAATCCCTTTTTTTCCTATTTACAATAGGTTCAATGATGCACAGATAGTCAACATTATGCAATGTAACTAGTGTTTTCAGCCTAGTAAGTGAGGAGGCTGCACCACAAACATTCCAAAATAAGCAATTCATAAGAATTTTTTGGTGTGTCCTTCAGTAAGCCTTGTTTTGCTTCTGCTCATTATTGTCCTTGAAGATGGTTGTTTACCCTTCTTGTGAGATTTAGGGATGGCCAGAGAGGGAGAGTTCTCTTTTGGTAGAGATACTTCGAAGGGCTGAAGTTCTGAGTTGATCCAAAATGTTGGTTCCTTTTCCCCTTCAGAATGGCAAACTGCCTCTGGGAGATCTACTTCTCCTTCACTATCTGATCCCATACCTGTTGAGACCCAAGCCTGAGGATCAATTAGAAACAAGTCATCCTTAGATCCCATGTCCAATATTTTTGAGCAGTGGTGTTTGTCTGATGATTTGAGTGCCTTCCCTTGATTTAGAGGGTTATGATGATGGTTAACTGATTCCTTGCTTGCTGATGACAGGAAAATTTTTGAGGCAAAAGATTTAGCAGCTGAGAAGGAAGGAAAGTGCTCCTGTACATTGAAGAGGGAATGTAGGCCCCACTTTTGAGACTGTTCACTCTCCTCAGGTAAAGTGCTATGATTATTTTCTACGGCTATAATTGGGGTCTGTAGGAGAGAGACATCTGGTTGAGCTGCAGAATTATCACTAATTGGTTGTGTATGTCCAGTAGTTGTTGGAAAGGATTCTGTGGCCCCCTTAACTGTTAAAGTTTTTTGGACTGAAGCCCTGGATGTTTTACTTACAATATCCATAGTCTATAAGATGCAAATATCTTGTCTTATATGTATTAGTTTCACTATATTATGACATCTCTATTATCATAAGATTCAGTTCGACTAAGAACATTTTAGAAATAACATATTTAAATGTAACAACCTCATAATTAGAACATTGTAGTTCTAATCTATGCTACCAGAGCACTAAGTCTATGCACTCTATGTTTTGATATACGAGGTGTATAAACAATCTTCACGACCTATTATTCATGATGAACATAAGAGATAATCATCATACGATTGGCTACCTCGGAATATAAAATCATTTATCTCCACTTGTACTATGGTTAATCATGCATTACCATAATGCTTATTAAATTCGTGTAATCCGCATATTTAGACATTCTCAAAGCATAGGTCCATGGTTATAAAAATTTGTCATTTGTTTCTATTTTTTCAAAATCTTCACATTGTACAATCTATTGTATAATGATATTACATCTCATGGCGTGTTTGGTCTTGGTGAGGCTTTGGTTCATTAGCTTATTTAATAATCCATTCTTGTACTACAATGTGCGGCTTCTTTATAGTAAGAATGATACTGATCTTGAAAAGCTCTCGACCAAAATACTTTTTCACCTACTTCAAAAGCTGATATGTACTATATACTTGAAGTTAAATCTACGGTAGTGTTTTAAGCTCTTCTAGCTCATTACACCGTTATTCATTGCATGTAACCTTGTTGAGATGTGTCTACCAAGTGAATGTAGAAGCTAGCATCACGCATGATGATTTTTTTCATTGAAACATTATACCACAATTAGGTGGTCTCTGGTAGCACCTTTAAAGAGGCTCATTTTGTTATGTAGTGACGATAATTGATTTAGCATGTTATCTGCTCATAACATGTATTCGGCCTATATCATGACCTTCATGATGGATCCCAAGATAGTTGTATAACGAATGATTCTTATAGAGTGGACTAGAAGAAGAAGAGAAGAGAGAAAGCTAAAAGAAAGAAATAAATGTGGTTAAAATAATAAAAACTTAAATTTATAAAACTATAATTTGGTCCTAAGTGACCTGCCGGTCACCTGAAAGTCTACTAATGAATTTTTGGTGAAAGAATTTTGAAGTTGATGTATTTTAATTTGAAATACTCTGTAGTTTTAAAGTTCATATGTTAAAGTAAAATAATGAAAAAGCTCGTAGACCATGAAAATCATGTCAGCCGAACGCCCCCATGTTTTACTCCAAGTTTGAGATTTTTCCTTTTTTTAAGGAAAACTTGGCATGGTTTTTGAAAAGAATTAAGTTATGTGTATCTTAAAACTTATATCCCGAAGACATGCACCAATATTTTATGCTAGTGCAATGAGTTACATTGACAAAAAATAGTAGTGCTAATGCAATGTTTTACATTGAATTAATATTATTGTACAAATATAAACTATTCAAATATTAGGGGAGTGTATTCAATTTGAATTTTAAAAGATTTTGATGAATTTTTCAAAATCTATAGATTATCTAAAAGCAACGAATTATTTTAAATCTATGTAGAGTTTGATAGATTTTGATGTATTTTTCAATAGAATTTTGTATAATTCTTTATTATCCATTATTACTTTTTTTATTCTTCTCTCTTTTTCTCTCTTTCTCTGTTTCTCAACTTTTCTTCCTTTGTAACATCTGCGTCCCCTCTTCTCCTTTCTCCTTCTTTCTTTTTTTCTTTCTTTTTCTTTCTCCTTTTCCATCTTCATCATCCCTCCTCCGTTCCTCCTATCTCCGCCGGCTCCATCAACATGGATAATGCACTGGTCTTTTTTTCGATGCCCAAGGAGATCGAGACCGCCGACAAGGTCCTCCCCTTCGTCGACACCTTCTGCAGCCTCGTCACAGACCTTTACGAGTGGGGTTGGGGCCAATCCTTCCACTTCTCCCCCTCCATCCAGGGGAAATCCCATCGCGACGCGACCCAAATACACGAAGAGATGGTCGTCGATCTGCTGGGAGTGAAGGTCGGCGACCGAATCCTGGACGCCGGCTGCGACGTGGGGGGTCCCATGCGTGCCATTGCTGCTCGTCCTGGACGCCGGTTTCTCCTCTTTCTTCAATTTCCCCTTCTTCTTCTTCCCCGTCTCCATCCCAATCCACCGCCGATTGCAAGTGTTGAGTGTTACTTCAAAGTCCCACATCGGTGGGATAGGAAAATTGAGAAGGGATGGGAGCCTATAAATAGAGAGGGTGTATAGGCTTCCAACACACAACACAATCCTTCAATCTATATAATTGTGTATTAGATTTTAGGTTGTGAGTGTCAAATATTGGAGAGGGTTTGTAATTTTTCCGTGCAAAAATTACTAGTGAGATTTTATCCCAGAGGGGGTCGTGGAGTAGGTCTTGAGGTGCCGAACCACGTTAAATATTTTGTGT